AGCTCAGAGCCAGTTGCCAATGACACAGGGGGACGGGGCCCCTCTACCACAATTTGATCCTCATCAACTACCTGAAGAAACTGTTTTGGGCGCCGGCCAGCACTCACCCCCAACGATGGACCCTTGGGGAGTGCTTGCAAGACAATATGCCAGCCAAGGGCCGTTGCTGCCCCCTTCAGAGTGGAGAAGCAACCCCTTCGGACTAGGGCAGCCACCCCTGGTCCCAGACGATAGTGAAGCTGAGACAGCCGTCCCGACCGACATCGACGTGGTACCACAACACATGAGTCCTGGCGACGCTTCCCCCATCGATGACGATGGCATAGCTCCGACCTGCCCGGCCAGCACATCTCAGAGTCAGCCAGCAACTGAAGCGACGAGTGCATCGATCTCAGCCCCGCCAGGCATAACGGCAGGCTCTACCATTGACCCTGCAACAACGGGGGAAACCCCGTCGGCGGCAGCAGCAGCTCCAGCGGAACAGCCAACCCAGGATGATGATGACGACTCCCTGGACGAATGGGAGAGCGACACCGACGATGAGCAGGCAGACACCGAGCAAGACCCCCAGCTCAATCAAAACAGGGGCGACAAGCCCCAGCGCAGACCTGCAGGCCATGGATCGCAGCGAGTCAAGAACAAGGCCCGGAAATCGGACGTTAAGAAACTTTGGGAGGAACGCGGCTGGCCACGAAAGCCGGCTTGGTTGACGTGGCGAAAAGCTCTTGAGTGGCTTAAGCGCGGGGAGATCCCGCCAAGCCGACAGCCGCGTGCTACCATCTCCGAAGCCCATCGAGCTGCCCTCAGCAACCTCCTCAACTCCCACCACTACACCTACGACAGTGCTGGCAACATCATCCCACAGCCACCGAACAGACAGCAGCAGCCGCAAGCCCAAGCAGCTGGCAGTTTCTCAGGGGATCCATCCCCCCAGATGCCAACAGGCCCACAGCCCACAAAAGCTGACGCACAAGCTAGAGCAGATCATGCAGCCCGAAGGCAAAACAACCCGTACAACCTTCCCCCACACCAGCGGCCCGACCTGGCCACTTCCAGCAAAGCAGCGGGGCCCATGACGGGAGACACTCAGCTGCATGAGAGCCAGCAACCGCCACAACATCCACCACGTCAGCAATCTTCAACACAACAACAGCCAACGGTTCCCGGAACAGCTGCAGCCGACCAGAGTCACTCCCTCCTCCACCAGCGCAACAGCATGCCACAAAAGCCGCATCCACAGCTACAAGACAGCAGACCTTCCCATGACCAAGCCGGCCAACCGCGGGCAGCACGACAGAACCGCAGCCAAGCACCAAGCAAGAGTGTCCGCTTCTCGCTTCCTAGAGGACACCGGGAACACCCGCCCAAACCAACTCGCACTCAGTTCGTTCCAAGGAAGCTGTCGAATAGCACCCACATACAACTGAGAGGCGATGGCGTGGACAAATACCCGGTGGTAAAGCTACCGCGGCCTCCAACGCAGGAGCCTGTCGTCGCCGACCTTGACCCAGGGGACCTCCTCTTCTACCAACCGCCACCGCGACCCGACGGCTCGCAAGCTCCTGAGGAAGTCGCCGGCCTAGAGCACCCAGGGGGACTTTCTGACTTGGAAGCCCATTCGGCCATTGCGGTCAGCCAGCGCAGAGCCCCCGAATGGACAGCCACCAGAAACACGGAACCGATGCGCAGCACTATACGGACGGGGGCCAACACGCAGGATCTTTCGTGGCTGGCGGGGGCACCCCCGACAACACTACCTCCAGTCTTTCCCCTACGACGACGCAGCATACTCACACTACGTGGTGTCGCAACCGGAGCGTGGCGGGGCACTGTGACCGATCTCCGTACCTGGCAGTTTGCCCGGCACCCTCGCAGACTTGGACAAGAACCCACCCTCGTCATCTACAACACTATGTCGGGGTCGGCCCCTGGTGCAAGGCACCTACCGCATGGAACGTGCCTTACAATGCTACCGGTGGGACCATGGGTTGCTTCCACTAGAGTCGAACTCGGGGCCATTAAGACTCCCCAGCTCTGGTTGGTTATGATCGACGCTACATCGGCATCCTCCTCCAGCAGTTCGAGCTCCAACAACACAGGGGCGATCCCCCTGACAGTGGGAATGACTTTTTGGCTCCAGTGGAACCAAGAAGGTCAGGAATGGCGACGAAGACCCCGGTTTGACAACGACATTGAGATCCTGGGGGGCTACTCCATCGTCCCACAGCCTGACCCGGTTCAACCTCCTCTACCACCTGAAAGACATGACCCCACACAGCGTGGGCACCGGGGCATGAACCCCGCTACGAAGGCTAAAGCTAAAGCTACTGTCAAAGCGAAGCCGAAACCGAGATCCACAACGCCGACTTCAGACTCCTCCCAGCCGATGCCCATCCCACCTGAACCAGCTTCTGAACAGCAGGGTCAAGCTCGAGCCGACCCCCTGCTGCAGACCGAAGAAGAAGCAACAGAAACGCAAGATGTGCCGGGACAATCTCCTCCTGGCCAAAGTGGTGGCATCTCTGACTCCGAGACAAGCTGGCCGAGTGAAGACCCGCCAATGCCGCCACCCGACCAACCGCCTGCCGATGACACTGTGCTCCTCCAGACCTACGTGACCAAGTACCTGCAGCCGTGGGACAGTCAGGATGGTGATTTAGCCTCCTTCATGCAGAGGGGACAGCAAGGCACCTCCCCCACACAACCAGACCAATACAGCCCTACGACGTGGACATCGCCAGCACTGTCCACGCAGATACTCCAACTCCAGCAAGAAGTCTCTCGGGGGAGTACCCCGGTACTCAACGTGTTGCGGTTGCTCCGAGCGCTACTCCACGACCTCCTCCAGCAGTCGCACTTGCAACCCAGGGAAGAGGTCACGGAGCTGGCTTACCAGGCATGTTACTACTTGGACAAGTTGCAAACAGTGAGCGAAAGCCGCGAGAGGGGAGAACACCCTGGCGCCGACTTCCCTGGGGGTGACCCCACTGCCACCACGCTTGCAGCGCCTACCGAGATCTATTTCATCATGAACAACCCCTTGGTGGAGGCCGAAGCTACGTTGAGTAACCTCGTCGTGAACCACAAAGAGCTACCAGTGCGCCATTTAGGCAGAGAAATAGGGCGCGTCGAAGCGCTGCTTCTGGAAGGACAGCAAATCCTTCGCAGCTGGGGGCGTTCCCCACAAGCCCCGGGAGCTCCCGAAGGAGATGCCAGCCTCAGCACGGCCCTCCAGAGCCTCAGTTTTAGTCACCTGGCTATTGCAGAAGGAGGTCATGCTAGCACGACGGAAGCCCTGACGTCGACCTGGCATGCAGTCAGTCGGGCCAGCGCCCACATGGACGCCCTGCTTGCCTGGATTCAGACCAGGTTTGGAGCCAACAGCAAATCTGGAGAAACTTCGGGGAGTCCATCCCCCAAAAAACGCCGGACGAACGAGATGCCATCGGGAAGTGCGCAGGCTCCCCGTTTTGCAGACCAGCCACCCGAACCTCGCCCTGGCCCAGCAGCTCAAGTACGTGCACCTGAACAGCTACCTGGCCGTCTTCCTCAGCAACCAGCAGGGGAACCACAGGCGAGCCAAAGAGGGGATGCCACCCCTTTCCAAGTTCTACGTGCCCAGCAGCTTCTCGAGCAGGTCTTGCCCTTCCTTGAGCGCCAGAGCGCTTTGGTGATCCAGGAAGCTCATAGCCTTTTGTTTCAGTGGACGACGGCAATCTGGGGCATGCCCATTGTCCTGACCGCCGGGGATAGCCCTCAGCATGCAACCGGGGGGCAGCCCCCTTCGTTGCCGGGATCGGAGGCGAGCACCTGCTGCCCAACCAGGCCCTCCGACCAGGCAACTTTGGACAGGAGGAAGCTCCTGAGGCCACGAGTGTTTCGTCACACAGACGACGAAGGCTCCACGCAGTCATGGACACGGCCTACTCCTCGGAAGAGGACAAGTGATGTTGGGCTTCGGGGAGTTTCTCGCGCCGGTGTGGATCCCATGGTGCCTACCGACAAGCCGATTCAGATGAAGCCGCCCAACAAGCTCAATTGAGAGAGCATGAGTGCCCCTACTTCAGCAATTTCTCAAGGACCGTGCACCGGGGTTGAGCTCCCCGTCAATCTTTGTTTTTCTTGGTTTTATTTCGTTACTTTTTATTCAACTATCTGCTATCAACCACGGTGCTGTAATGCACATGGAAGCCCGAATGCTCGCAGACAGCTCTCCAAGGTCTGGGGAACAGCCCTGGAGCTTTCTGTTCAGGTTGCTTTGTCTTCAGAAGGTTCAGGGGGCTGGTTAGGGGGTTAATTCTTGCCGACGGAACAGAACGCGAGAGTGAACTTGCTGCAGTGCTTCCAAGGGGAAACCCCCTTTCTTTCAAACAAGGTCTTGCCTTTTCGAAATGTTCTGATGCCATGTGCGCTCCAGGGGGCTTTTATGCCCCAGACGCATCTTCTGAGGGAGACGCTGCGGTACTCGGTTCGTAGGCAACGCATGGCCTTCTTCATGCCTAGTTCTTTGGCTCATCTACGGCGGCGTAACAACCGACACCTCATCGAGATGCCCAGCCTTTTGACCTCATTGAGATGCCCAGCCTTCTGCTTCCACTCTCCCTAGCCCGGGGAAAAACCCTGGAGCTTTATGTTCAGGTTTCGTTGTCTTTGGTAGGTTCTGAGGGCTGCTGTCTTGGGGTTTTGGTTTTGGTTCCCTTTGCTGTCATAGGAGTGAGCTGAATGTGAGAGTGAGTTTGAAGGCCCGTGACATGTCCGACCTACTGCACTGCACTGCGTACTACTGTGTTTGGGTCACGTGTTCGTTTTCTCGTTTGGTGTTGCTTCGACATGTCGCTGCAGCGCAGTTTACAGAGAGGCCTTAGGGGAGCAAGTCCTCTCCTTCAGACGGAGCTTGTTTTGTCTTCGTTGTGCTTTAGGTCCAAGGGATATTTTCCCCTACATGGTTTTCTTCTGAAGGAGAAGCTGAGGTGCTCGGCTAATAGGCTACTTCATGCAGACCTGAAAGTGCTTCAAGGCGGCCGGGGTGTGTTGCCCCGTTTTACTTCATGCGGTTACTGTTGTAGCGCAACTTTCTTGTACGGGCCACCTTTGCCTTTCTGTCGCATGCATATCTCACCATTCGCTCCCCATATGTCGGGGGCGCTTAACGCGCGCGGGTGAGGGGGGCTTGTCTTCCCTTACCCCTAGCCCTGATGAAAGAAAGAGAGAGGATAACATATGGGGGGCCCATGAGGCCGAGGGACCTGACCCGTCCCTCATCCCGGGGAAAGAAGAGAGAGAGGCAGAGATCCGTACCTGATGGACTCCTTGGAGCGCCTCACCTACCTGAGGCGAGCAGTCAACACAGGGCAGCTTGGGGGGCGCCCAGGGAGGAGGAGAAGGAGTAGGACCCAGAGGCAGCGGAGCAGACCGGGCACCCGGCCGATGTCATCGCACACGAAGGGGGACCAGACTCTCAACCTGACCCAACCAAAACTACCCCTCAGGGCCATGAGGATAGGTTTTGATGTGGGCGTAAAGGTGTAGTGCGGGGAACAACCGACCAGCCTGGACGAACTGAGCCCCTTCGGGGGGGGGGGGGGGGGCCTCTCGCACCCTTGCTCAGAAACAAGAGAGAAATCTTGGAGTGACGCGACCAGAGAAAGTTCCGTCCTAACCTCTCAGGGTGACGGAGTGGACCTTGGAGACCAGGGTGCCCTTGCGTGCGAGGGGTGCAGGGGTTCCTGTGCATCCTTGTGCGCATGGTGTGGAAGTAACGTCATGTGTTACTGATTCCCACCATTTGCCAAGGTATGCGCAGAAGAAATTCCCATACTTCAATGGTCATGGTGCTGCGGCAACTACAGCACACGGCGCTCAAGTAATTCTGGCGTAGCATGTCGGCAGTTTGGCAGGTGATGCAGAGCGTGAAGACAGTGATATGAATATTCCATTACATCTTTGGCTGGTCACGAAGCTTTCGGTTACGCAAGCGGTGCTCTGAAGTCTACAGGGTCTGAGCTTCTTGAGCAGTTGCGGGTGTTCGGCCTGAGAGCTTCAAAACAGGACTGGTTTTGACTGCCGAATTCATGGCTCCGAGTCTGCAAAGGTTCGAACTCCGCTCCGCCAAGGCCTGGAGGACCTGTCGAAATGTAGAGAACTTCCAGAAGCCAGTCGTGAGATTGCAGGTGAATGGTGAGCTGGTGCCACGTCTGGCACTTGCATTCAGTCAGGTCGTGCCAGCCTCAACATCCTGAGCCTTTTGCCGTGCACAAGCTCACGTTATTCACCCAGGCTTCTCGAAACAGCCCTGGTTTGACTGAGGTTATCGACAAGCTGGACCTTCGCTTTCAGGAATCGTCATTTAGCTGGCTGTACAACACGCTCGGCTGTCCGGCAGCTGAAGCTAGGAAGTCGGTTTGCACATCGCGGAGGGTTTCGGTTTAACTTTCGTCTAGTTTTCGTGTGATGGCCATGTGCACATGCCAATCGCAATCGCATGGTCCTCAACGACCCCAACCATTTCCATGTTGAGGCTACTATTTCCAAGACGCAGTACGAGACTATGTAGTTCAAAGCCTTGGGGCCGCAGTGAACGCCGCTCGATGTAACTGTTGCATCACGGTACTTCGGGGGAGCTTTTCAGGACAGATTCTGGAGAGGGATGCACAGCTGACTCCATGTTGATCGGTTTACTAGTCAAATATACTATGGTGGAATGGTGGCATTGAGCTTCAAGCAGGGCAGGCATCCGGCATGAATTGAGAACGAATGCATACCAGGTAAGGTTCGTCTTTCCAAGCTTAAGCTCAGCTCAGGCAAACATTGCCTCGCTGCTGGAGCCGTTCCCTGCTTCCACGTTGTGGGGTCCAACACGAACATGCTATACACTGGGGCGACTCTTTAGCCTCTCTATTCTTAGCCTTTTCAATTTCTTCGGATGCAAGCCAGGCTAATAGCCAAAGTCCTAGAGCCGGCGAGCTTGTCTTCAATGGAGCCCTGGTTTCTTTAATATAAGATTTCGATTTTTGTCAGCTTTATTGTTGCATGGTTATTGGTTTGAGGTGTTTTCTATGTTTGGATTTTGTCACTTTGCCATCTGTTTTTTCCCTACCCTCGGTGTGGGGTTGTTAGATTTTAAAGTCAGCTATTGCTCCCGCCCGCTCCTCGCCGGCTGAGACTACCTCTAGAGACTGCCTGAAGTGCCCACCCCCAGACACCACCGTGAGACTCCCTGAATTGCCCAACGTCTCAGACTACCGTGAGACTCCCTGGAGTGCCCAACCGCAAAGACTACCATGAGACTCGCTGGAGTGCCCAGCCCAGGGACCCCAGGACCTTAACACCAGTCAGTGGTGTGCCCACATGGATCCTCGACTGACCTGGATCGATTACGTGTTTTGGTACGTGTACGGGGACCCCACGTCCGTAATGCCAGTCAGTGGTGTGACCCCATGCATGGCTCGTCGAATGACCTGAAATGACCAGAATGGAACACTCGCGCTTTGTTCCGTGTACGGGAACCCCACGACCGTAACGCCAGTGGGTGGTGTGACCCCATGGATCGCCGACTGACCTGAATCGACCACTCGTGCGTTGTTACGTGTACGTTTTTGCTCGTTGTTTTCTGTTTGTTCTCGCTTTTGCATTTCTGCGTTTCCGGTGTTCTGCTTCTGTGTTTTTCTTTCTGCTTCTTGGATCGCCAAATGAGGGGGGGTTTAAGAACTGTGATCAACCGGGATCGCCTAATGAGAGGGCGAGTTTAAAGATATGTGATCAACCTGGATCGCCAAAGAAGGTAAGGGGGCGTGCTTAAGATATGTGATGAATCGGGGTCGCCAAACGTGGTGGCGTGTTTAAGCCATGTGTTCAACCGGGATCGCCAAAGGAAGCGGCGTGTTTAAGATATGTCGAGTTTCGGATGTGTGATCAACCGGGATCGCATAATGAGGGGGGCGCGATGAATCGGGCTCGCCAAAGGAGGGGGCGTGTTGATGATACGCGATGCTTAAGATCTGTGATCAACCTGGACCGCCAAACGAGGGGGCGGGTTTAAGAATTGTCATCAGCCGGGATCGCATGGATCGCCACATGAGTGGGCGTGTTAAAGATGTGTATGAATTGGGAAGGGGCCTGCTTAAGATGTGATGAATCGGGATTTCCTAATTGGGGGGGTTTAAGATATGTGGTGAACCGGCGTCGCCAAAGGAAGGGGCGAGTTTAAGATATGTGATCAACCGGGATCGCCAAAAGAGTGGGTGTGTTCAGGATATGTCCTGATTCCGGCTCGCCACGCATTGGATGTGATCAACCTGGATCCTCTAATGAGAGGGCTTGTGTAAGATGTGCGATGAATCGGGCTCGGCAAGGGGGCAACCTGAGTCGACAAATGAGGGGGCGTGCTTAAGAAATGTGCTCATCCGGGATACCAAACGAGGAAGCATGCTTGAGCTATTTGATGAATGTTTAATTTTGGTATGTGATGAACGCCTCATGAGGGTGCGGATGTGCGGAATGGGATCAACCTGGATCGCCGAATCAGGGAGCGGTCAAGAGGATATGTCATGAGTTGGGGGGTGGTTTTAACGGCATCGCCAAAGGAGAGGGCGTGTTTTGGATCTGTGTTCAACTTGGATGGCAAATGAGGGGGCGTGTTTACGATTATGATATATGGTCAACCGGGATCTCCAAAGGAGGCTGGGCGGGTGGGAAAAAAAAGGAGGGTGTGAGGTTAAGATATCTAAGCACTTAATGAACCCTGCCCTAGACCCTCCGGTTCCGTGCCGTGAAATGCGAACACTGTTGTTGTGTGTGTTAAGCCCTACCTTAGACCCTCCGGTTTCGTGAAGTTCGAACACATGGGTTTTTGCGTGCGAAACCCTACCCTAGACCATCCGGTTTGGTGGCGGGAAGTTCGAACATATTGGTTTTTGTGCACCCGACAAGACCCTGTGTTCGCCTTAAACGTCTTGGCCTACATCCAAAGCAAGATCCCAGTTCGTTTCCCCCAAGTACTGTACTGCTGCAATATGCTGCAATTCAAGGCAAACCAAGGTCTTTCACAAGCAAAGGTGTTCCATATCTGCTATTGACAATGAGTCACAGCTCCAGCACATGGAACCATCCGTAAGTGACGAAAAGTATGCACCGCACCACAGCGGGAGACTGGCAGCGAGCATCCTGTGTAAAAACAATAGGACGTGGGGACCAGATTTGTACCTTGTGCTGTAAACACGAGTAACAGGAGGCGGGGAGTTGGCAAGAGTGTAAAGAACGTAATTTTTCTTGGGGGGGGGGGGGGGGGAGAATGTCCATCGTGGCAGTTGCGATGGGAAAAAGAAACCCAAAAACTCCAAAATGTAACGTCTTCAATACCAACCGACAGGCTGAACCGGTATCTGCACCCCTACTGGCCTTTGGTGCTCTCCACGGTCGCCATCCCACTTCCGGAGCTACCCCAGTGTGGCACAGAGGACTGCCTGTATTTCACACGGCAGTAGGACAGAGCACAGCTACTGACTTGTTGCAAGAAACGGGCGGTGGCGAGCTCATTCTTTGGTCATTGTCTGTCTTTGACTAAGCTTTGGCCTGAGCATTGCCAAGCGACCAGGAGTATGTTGTGGAGCTGGGCCTCGGCCTCAGGTTTCCAGGGCAGCCCTTGGAGCTGAGAGTTTTGCAGTGTGGCAGGCTTTTGAACTGCCCGCTGTAGGGCTGGAGAACCACCAGAGGGTCCATCTTCATCCTATCTTTATCGCAAGTCTTCCTTGTCTTCCGCGACCAGTTACTCCAATGTCACCCTCATGAAACTCCTCGTCAGCCAGTGATCAGGCAATGCACTCTGAGTCAGGTTCATGCAAGCCATGAAGCCAGACGAGAGATATACCTGTCGCCCAAGCCCGCTCATTCAATTCCCGCACCCGCACAAGAGGCCTGGAGACGGAGGAGCCGATTGGCTGCGACTTTGTGGACGCGGACACAGGGCGATCCAAACCATACTACCAGTAACAGTAACAACGAGACGAACAAAGTCGCACATGCTCAGCGTACTTGGCAACTGCATGCTTAGGTTTACAGGAGCCGGCGAGCCTTAAGTTTTGATAAATGCCAGTGCAGCACCACAGGGCTTGCTTACCCCATCATTTCCCAAGTGGCTTTCTCTCTCGCTGTTTAATTCATGGGAATGTAGATGGTTTCTGTGTCCTGGCAGTTGCCAGCAAATGCCAGCAATGTCATTGCTTGCACGACGTCATTGGATGTCGCGCACCAGGAAGATGGGCTGGTGCTTCTAGCATTGGAGGAAGGAGGCAGGACATCAACATCCTCGTTTGCTCGCATGGGACACGGCATCCAAAGTATCATGGGCCGATTTTTGCCTTCACGGCAGCAAGGCCCGCTCGAGCGGTGGAACGAAACGGCGACGGAGCAGCGCAAGGCCAGCTGACGTGGATCTCAGCGGTGGCCTTTAGCGGTCCAAGTTTGTAAGTGCACCGGAATGTTGGGCTTCACGACGGTTTGCTTGTGTGTCGAGGTTTGTATCAATGACCTCCTCATCGAAGTGGACTGGGGCAGGGATTGCCCGCATACCCGGTAAATGGAGATTTGTGCCCAGTGCAGAGCTATCGGCTATCGGGCAGCATTTGCAGCTGGCATCGCCAGTGAAAGATCAAATTCAAGTTTGTTAGTGAGCTTGTCAAGCCGTCACAATCGTTTGCTACTCGGAAGGACGGCTTACGCAAGCAGGACATTCCCGATGCGCTTGACAGACGACCTCTCCACGCTCCTCGTTTTCCTTAGGCTTTAGCGCACTCTTCCAGAAAAAAGAAGGCATGTTGCTATAGCATGTTCCTTGAGCTGCAGGCCCATCCGCACGTGTCTCCAAACCCCATACCTAAGATGACTCTCACAACTCATGCATCGAAAGTCTGAGGAGCTGGTCTTCCGCCGAATGCCCCAGCAGCAGGCATCCACACCGGGTTCAATCTTGTTCGCGATCTGCGACTGCAGTGCCGGTTGTTATCAAAGCAAGCAACTCTCGCACGGAAACGTTGATGAGGTCTGTCCTCTAGGCGTGAGGGCGGCATCGTTTTTGCAGTCAGACTGTAACCTTAGCCTTGGATGACGGATGTATATGCACTTTCCGCAAGATAGGTGCCGACATCAACAGAAAGGAGAATCAGAAAACGGTCCGAACCCGAGCCGCGCTGGACAAAGGCGAATCGGAATACAGGCAACTTGTGTCCCTTGCTCGGCGTTGTTTTAATCGAAAGCTCTCCTCAGAATAGTGTGCTGCGCATGGGAGCGGCAGAGTGTGAGCTCTATGATACTTCCGAAGGAAAGGTATACTCATAGAGTGCAACAGAAACAAAGGATTTAGAATGTATTGCCCACCATCGAACAGCAAAAAGGTCTCTGCGCGGTGGAAGGGCAAATGGAAGCAAATGGTGTATGTCTGCATTTCGACGTCGCCGAGAGTTTCAGCATCCCCCCCTTTCGGAGTCCTAGTGACGAGCTCTTATGGAGAGCGTCTGCGGCGTATCAGCGGCCGCTTCGCAAAATTGTTCGCAGATGCCAGAGGGGCAAAGCTCTCGGGGCCGGTCTTTGCTGCTTGAGAACCGAGGAGCCCACTAAAATCTCTTTCGGGGCCGCAACAAAAAACTACGAAGTCAAGGCCGCGGCCGCTGGTTCGCTCGGAAGCACCCCAGCTGCCCAGCTAATGCTAGCGGCACCAACCGGGAAGGGTGCGGATGATGCGCACCAGGGGCAGAATTCCGAAACGGCGCGGCGGCACCGGCTCTGGCTCGCCCCAGCCTCTGCTCCCGTTAGGGATCCCTTGTAGGGATCTTGTCATCCTCAGGATCTGAAATCTTGGTCTTGACCATGACCCAGAGGGACTTAGTTTCTGTAGAAGGTCGAATGAAAGGGAGCGAGCAAGTGTTTGGGGTTGAGAGAACCCTGGCTCCGGGCGGACGTTCGTGCTAAGCCCATTCAAGACATTTCAAGACTAAATAGACATGAAGTTAGTCAGAGCTCAGGGTTTGGGGCCTGTAGAGGGGCCCAGTGGTGCAGATGTTGACCCTTCGCTAACAAAGCCCTAAACCTGTGATGGAAGGAGTTGCCACATCCCGACGACACGGGGATTGTTGCTTTGCCTGCAGAACTGCAAAAGTTGTCTTTTGTGCAATCGGCTTGTTCCTCTTTGGCTGTGAGCATCCAAGGAGTCGCTTGATGATTTTCTGGGCTCGCAAATGCCCACCGTTATGTAGAAATTCCGCTGTAGATCAGTCCTCGTGATGACGACTGATCTGTTTAAACTTATGTGGAGCACGGGTGGTGTGCACACCAAGTCCGTGAGGCACGCCGCGTATAGTGGACATGTCCGGACCGGTCAGCTTGGATGTGCCAAAACGGCATGGCCCAGCAGGCCTCGTGGTTTCCATCGGTTTCAGCAATGCAGTCGAGAAAAGAACGCCTTACAGCTATCTCTCATTCTACTAGAGTCCAGACAAAATTATACAGCTATAGCCTTGCGGTGTTTAGTCTTCGGAAGGCTGTTTGCAGAGTGCTAGCTGCGTCCATCCGCAAGGTCGGCCTATTTAAGTCTAGGGACTTAACGCCTGAGGCTAGGTCATTGACTGGGGCCAAACAGGCTGACTGCATTCAGCGAAAACCAAGCCGGCTTGAAGGATATAGAGGTAATCAAGCCCGAGGGAGTACGCCATTTCTTGCGCCACACATGCAAGCCAAGCTTTGGAACCCGAACCCTGTTAGATTAGCAACGCTGCTGCTGCTAAAGCTGGTCTGGTGTCGAAAAGAAGGTTCACGCAAAGCCTGGGACACTCCAAGAACTCGCCCAGGTTCCTCCAGATGCTTCCGTCGCTCAGGCTGCAGGCCCTGGACTGCAGCGAGACTGGGAGAAGCACGGCACGAACTTCGTGTTCGATGCAGCCTGTACTCGTAGCTGTCGTAGCTTCGTTATGGGAAGACAAAGGTTTGGCTGCTTGTCAGGGACTGCGCCGGCCGGACTTGCCTTGGACCTGCTCCAACTGGCCCTGCACTCAGTGTGCTTGGGCGTGCTTGGAGCTTTGGATGATTTAGGATGTGCAGCAGAAGGCTGTCTTGGAATCCTGAGCAAAAGTGGATCGTATACTTGTACTTAGCTGCTCCAGCGAATGCTGAGGGTGAGAAGGATCTAGGCTGCTGGCTAGAGTTTATTCTTGCGAGTCTTGCAGTGGCACTTGAGCAGGTGAACTCGGAACTATCGCTTCTATCACGGGAAGGGGGAGGGACTTGCACGGTTCCCCGGATTCCTTTGGTGTTTGAGGAAGCCGGTGTTAATAGTGGTGCCGACAGTAGCCATAGCATTACACTTTCACAACCATAGGAACGACCAACAGCAAGGAAGACAGCAATAATTATGGTAGAGCCAATATTATGACAACAGCGTGGTGCTAGCAACACAACAGCAGCAGCAGAAAGCGTACCACGGACACTGACCGTAGCACTGACCGTGACAGTGAAGAGCACTCCCCCCTTTCTCGTCATTTGAGATAGCTGCAGATGGCCTCAGCTTGACCCTCATGTACGCGACATGAATGGAAAACGTCGTTTCTGTTCCGCAACTGGGCCTTGCAAATGCGAATCTTCGCAGCAAGCTGCTCCTTGCATCTCTGCTGTTTGCCGGCTCCAGTTGACATACAGACTTGCACAGCTGTTCAGACTAAGTTCTGACTGCAGCAACGTCGCAGCAGCCCCAAGCCCGAAGAGCTGAGGCGGTGCAGAACCAACGCAATTCCAGGGATGATACCAGTAGCTCGTGAAGCCTTCGCAAGAACTTGTAAGACGCGCCGCCTCATCCGATGACCGAGATGGCAGGGGCGGAGCGCAGGTTCGAGGGAAGGCGGAGATGAAGAACTTGGTGCGAAGCCCTTTTCCTCATTGTGCATGCCCGTGAGAACTTATCAGATTCCGGTTTGGAAGCCATTTCTCCATCATCCTCCCATTCCAACTAGAGCGCGCTAAGCCATGTTATACCCTTGCACCCTAATGCCAAACAAATCGACGTGTTTTGTCTCCTGCCATTTGATCCCGGCGCAGCCATGCGACATACATACATCCCCACATGCATATACATCAAGTGTAAATAGGTTTCTATAGGATACAGGCATTCTCATAGCCCGCGTTCCTGACACCTTATACGAAGCCTTTTTCCCGACAGAGAGCTTTGTTCTTCAGCCGAACAGATTGGGGCAAGGTCAGGTGTTTGGGGCAGATTGGCGCAGCGGGTTTGGGGCAGGTTCTTACTCGCAGGCAGGTTCCAGGGCGGTTGCAGGCACGGTACATACATACGTACGTACGTACATACATACATACATACATACATACGTAAGTACGTACATACATATGTATATATGTCATAATTTAACTTGCCAATATGTGCACCCGGCCATCGTCATGGTGTTGAGTTTGGATTTGGCATGCGCCAAAACCTGTGTATTCTTGGATGCTTTGGTATTCGGCCCATTTGTTCGCATGTTTCCTTCGGTGCAGACAAATCCTTAGCATTACTGCTCCTGGAAGGCACCTTCTGCAAATAGCTCCGATGATGGAGGTTACCTATAAGGACTTCCGCTACTTCATGCGCCTGCTCTCACGACGCGCTCCTCAGACTGGCAAGCCGGAGTCCAACCGGATGTCCTTACCGCCTTGACTTCCGCTCTCGCGCACTCAGTGTTCAGTCTTCGTCCGGGAGACTGCTGAACTTCCAGCAGCTAGTTCCTGGGCAGTCGGAAAGATGCCTGCTGCTTGGAAAACAAAGGCCCAGCTCTGGACAGAGATGGTCGTGGACGACACAATTCTGCACAATACCGAAACCGAGAAGTGCGATCGTTTTTTGAGGTACAACGAGGCTCGGGCTTGGACAGGGTGCTGTACCAACGGATCCTACTCTCAAACCCTCACTGCGAGGCTGAGCATCCCATCGTCTGCCAGCTAGGACGGGCGAGATGGTTGTTGCGCGATGGGCTTTGGGTGCTTGCTTCTTTTGTGCACACGACAGGCACAGAGCCGAAAGGTCGCACCTGTCCGAGACGATTGCACTGGGGCTAACAACGCATGGAACCACGTCCAACTACATTGTAGCTTCTGATTTTTGCCGCTCACCGTGCAGCATAGCTGTTGTCCTTTCCTGCCGGGCTGCCACCTGTGGTGAATTACTTGGATCCAGGGCTGCAGTCTTCGCTCAGCGCTGACGGATCCCTCACTTCTCCGTTTGTGCTGCTTCTAGAAGTGTCTTGAGACATGCGGAGCTAGCCCTTTGGGGTCTGCCGTGCGGAAGACTTTGTACGTCATCATGCACTGATGTTCCACTGACGCACCTCGGTGCTGCAGCAGGAGGCAGCGACCCAAGCAAACTTGCTCAGGCGGCGGAGATCGTGCAGAGGCATCTCGTGGTGACACCTAGTGGTAATGTACACCGTAGGCATAGTAGCTCTGCATTGCACCTGCTGCACAGCTGTTTGGGTTTGTCAGGCCGGGGAAGCCCGGGGGGCTACATGCCAGGTGCTGACAAGTTGTGGGTGCACGTAGTTTTCCGCGATCATCCATGAGGCGTGAGTTCCGCAGGGTACAACCTACAGTCACAGGTCCTAACATGTTGCAACCATACATCAGAACAGAATTTCGACCTCAACTTTCGGAGAACGTACCGAGATGAGCTGATTTGGTTGTGCTCCGCGCGCATTCGGCAATCGACTTCAGTTGGCCGAAGCTGTAGCCCAGCAGCGCCTGCGTTGTCAGGTATGGTTACGATGAGGTCAACCTCAACTGTGGATGCCCCTCCAGCCGCGTAGCTGGCAAAGGCCACGCGTGGCTGAAGAATGCTATATCTAGCTGGCCTTGCACTTTGCTTGGTACACTACGGACTATGGCCTGGCAAACATTTTGACCACAAGTGCCGTGGCATCGTTGCAGCACACCTGTTGAACTGGAACACTCGATGTAATGCCGTGGAGTGTTGCATCGGCTGGCAAGCGAACAGGCGAGTTCGGCTGCTCCTTGATGAAGAAGAAGGACGTAGTTCGAGAAGTGCCTCGGTCTGTGCTTGGCAGGCAGTATCTTTGAGCTCTACGGCCATATACTGCTCAAAGATCCACCCATGCAGCAGCGTTGACTGCGTAGCCATCCCGACTATGAAACCAGCAGGCCATCCGGGCGATGAGTCGGGCGGTGCAGATTCCGGTAACTGTGAAGTGCCGCCACCTGGCTAAAACCCTTGCTCCGCTTCCTGCGTCAGATCACGCCCCATTGGCCCATGAGAGAACTGGCATAATGTTTCGAAGCCTCCGAACAATGACGGCTTTCATTGCTGTGAACTGCGGACAACTGAGTGACATGTGTCCCTTACCTGAGGACCTACGGGTGACGCATAGGTGCATGTGTGACATGCCCAATGCAATCCCAGGTTTGGGTGCAGATGAGTTTGACTCGCCCGAGTTTACCCGCGACTTCGTGAGAACCGTTGCCCAGGGTGGGTGCAAACATTTCATCATCCATGCGCGGAAGGCCTGGGACACATGCAAATCGGAAGGCCTCAAACTCTCTTGCAAAGTGCAGCTGATAGCCGGGACATGCTGGGACTCCGGTGCGGCTGTGCAGGCCTGGCTCAGTGGGCTGTCACCTGCGCAGAACCGAACCATTCCGCCGCTGCACTATCCAAGAATCCTCGACCTTTGCCATCAGCCACTTGTGACACCCAAAATTAAGTTTGCCTTCTTGGATCGCCGCATGCAGCGCCATCTTCTTGTGTGGTTGTAAGCGTTCCCGTTTGCATAGTAGCAGGCATTAGTCAGTCTGTGGATTGAGATGAGACCCTGTGTCGTGGCAGCCGCCCAATAGGGCGGCCAAACGTTGTTCAGACTGCTGACTGATGTGCCATCGCTGAGAGGTTCCCAGATCTCAAGTTCAGCATCAACGGCGGGATCACGGATGTGGGCCATGCGAGGGTACCTGTTTTGCCAAAAGTGTGTCTGTTTGTCTGTCTGTCTGTCTGTGAAAGTTTCTTCAAGGTGGGACATCGTGCCGGGACTAGAGGCCCAGAGGTTTCGCCAGTGGTCGCAGGATAGGCACTCAAAGAAACTCAGACCACGACCATGGCTCTGGGTCTCAGTGCGGCGTGCAGTGTCGTGGCTTCTCGCAGTCCACATGCAACAAGCCCGTGGCCGCCAGTGTCAACCAAGGCACTACTTGGCTTCCCACATCAGCATTTGGAGGGCGAGACTGTGCTTCAAGCTGACAGGCCTGTCAGGCCTATGCTACAGGTGAAGCAGATAGAGTCTGTGTGTTTGAAATTGCTAGCTTTCCATTTGCAGAAAGCTTAGGAGACCGAAGAGCTTTACTCCACGGCTTGGGGCTGGCCGGGTTCGGCCTCTCGGATAGATCAGTGGGGATCATCAAACCCCCGTGTCTCGAACGCTCCACGCTGAGCTGAACAGAATCTTCAAGCCGTTCCGTTATATAACAGAGACGATCACAGCAGCTCGTGAGGGTTGAGGCACCGCGATCCAGGTGTATCCGACAAGTAAGAAAGTATGAACGTGCAGGAAGTTGTTGGCAACATTGTGGTGCACTGCAGCATGCAACCTGTTGGGAGAGGACGTCTTCTGCGGGTCTACGGAGCCATGCCCAGCTGTGCCGCCGAACCTTGAGGGCGTGATGATCGGCCGGGGCGCCATGAATTCTCCCTGCGTCTAAGCTGAGGTCAGTTATTCAACTTGGGTGGCTGCGCTGTGTAAGTTAGAAAATGCTCGCGGGCCCCGAGTTTGCCGAGGCATGCTTTGGGATGTGGATCACAGTTCCTCGGAGTTTCAGAAAAGATGCACCAAGCAACGGCACAGTGTGCCCAAACGACAGCTGATTAACCTGCACAGAGTGCAGAGGTTCACCGTGATCTTACAAGTTTCTTGCCTCTAGTGGTCCTCGATTGAGGCCTTTATGGCGAAGAGAAGCGGAAGCCAATGACACGCCGTGAACTTCTCGAGGGCTACAAAGAGCAACTTGGTCACAGAGACTCCTAGCATAGTGACACATTGTCGTGATGCGGCTTGCTGAAAAGTGCGCCACTCTTTCTGTACTGCATGTATCCATGGGTCCGTCAGTGTGTCATCTGCTGGCAAGTTGGACGCCCGCATTGATTGCATTGCATGCAAGTGCATTCGAGTTTGCTTCGGATCGGTGTTATGGGCTGGCAAAGTTTGCAAGAGTCCTTTGCTTGGTCAGCCGCCCGAGGTATTTGCAGGATGCGCATACGGACGGCACTTCCGTGGGGTCGATCCACCTGGCTTTGAAGCCGACACTGGGAATTCTTGCGGGAATTCGCGGAAACAAGGCGAGGAGTTCGTCTGCAGCAAAGGAAGCTTGCTCAGCGGTTGTTGTTGCAGAGGCCTACCGTGCTACTGCCGACAAAACTATGCGGCGAAAGGATGTTGCTGAGCGACTCGCCAGTAGATCGAGAGCAAGTCAGGGCACAGTGTTCTGTTTCACTGAGTTGGCACGCAGCATGCATATTGTAGCTGAGCTCGATATTATGTTAATCAACAACAGGGATTCCCTGCTGCTTTCCCGAAGCGTTCCCCTGTTCAAGTTGTCTTCTGGGTCGTCGGTGCGAATTCGAATTGCAAAGTTTAACTTGGAGCAGGTTCGTAACGAGTTGGTTTGGAGGAGTCCTTTGCGGTGCGCTTGGGTGGGATTGGGACTAGTCTAGTCGCTTCAGCTTTCGAGTCCTGGTAGACTGTATGCTGATTTCCAGAGTGACTTGCATGTCGTTCTTCCTTCAGACCTTCAGATTTGGGCATTCTCTCCTTTGAAGTTGTTCGTGTGCGACTCATCAACAATATCTGTGCGTATGTATTGGTTTTTATCTATCTATCTGATTGTTTGGGCACTTTGTCTCCTGCCTCTCTCTCTCTCTCTCTGTCGCAGTCTCTCACCCTGTCGGCTGCGCGACCGGGCCCGGCATCAGCATTTTCACCATTGAACCGCCCAGGATGGGTCCTGCCTATGTTCTGGAAGCAGCCATCAAAGCCGTAGACGAGGCCAATCCAGGCTGCGCCGAAGCCTGTCTTCAAGTCTATAGCACGGGAACCCCATGCGCAAAAAGCATCGTTCTCTTCATGCTGCTGTTCTGCTCACGGTGGATGGCGAAAGCGTTTATTGTCAAACGACAGGCGTGCTGGATGAAGCTTTGCCCGCCACGGTGGCATTCAGGCAACCCCCGACAGCTCCCAGGCTTTTCTAAGCATTCTGATGAGCAGCCGCCGATAAAACCACTAAAGCACCTGTGGCACGAATTCCTGTGGTAGAGACTTGCATCGACAAGTTCCTATTTCTTTTCGAGTCACAATCCAGAACACTTTCCGAGGCAGACACCCCGCGTGGGCAGAAGCGCAAACCAGCAGAGGTGGTGCCGCCAGAGGCCTTGAACTAACTGTAAGTAACGGTCGCAGATCTTGCGACGGGGAAAGTACTCTTATAGCAGAGGCAGAGGGCGTCGCCTTGACAGCTTGGGGCGAGGATTTGCGGAAGTTTTAGTAGGTGGAAGGGATGGATCCGTCATGTTGTTCCCTCTGGGCCTGACAGCGGCTTGTTGTGCACAGCTCGCCCGCTGCAAACATGGACGTCTTCATTAAAAAGATGCTGCAATGCACCGAACCCGACATCTGTCGGCTCGTGTTGCCAAGGAGGTGGAGCCTGACAATGTGACACCCTGACTAGTGAGTCCCCCCAAAATGACCTTTTCATAATTATGTTCCTGCCTAAGCCTTACGCTAGGATGTTCCACTACAAGCAAAAAGGCATGGTAAGAGAATCTCAGAAAAAGCACAAGCACAAAACAATATAAGCAAAACACACACAAGCGCAAAACAAGCATCAGCAAAAAACAAAAGCAAGAACGCACATGCGGAAGCAAGCATAAGCACAAAAGCACATAGTCGCAAAAAACATAAGCGCAAACAAGCATAACAGCAGCACCAACAGCAACACCGACAGCAACACCCACAACAACAACAACAACAACAACAGCAACAACAACAACAACAACAACAACAGCGACAGCTTGGGGCTGGCCTGGGACTGGGGCTGGGGCTGACTTGCCGGCTGTCTGAGTGGGGTTGGAGTTGCTGGGGAAGGCAGGGCCCGGAAAAGCAAATTCTGCGTAAAATTCGCAGAATCCCAGGGCTGGGGGGGTGGGGGGCCCAGGGCCAGACAAGGCCGGATATGCTTAACATGAAAAGCATGAAATTAGCATAAGCAGGTCCACAGCGAAAAGGCGTAAGCAGCAGCATAATTTTAGCGCAAGCGGGGTGAAGAGCGTACGCAGAAGCATACTTGTAGCGTAAGCTGTAGTAGTAGTAGTAGTAGTAGTAGTAGTAGTAGTAGCAGCAGCAGCAGTAGCAGTAGCAGTAGCAGTAGCAGTAGCAGTAGCAGTAGCAGTAGCTTTAGCAGTAGCAGTAGCAGCAGCAGNNAGTAGTAGTAGTAGTAGTTTGTAGTTTGTAGTGAGTAGCTAGTAGTAGTAGTAGTAGTAGTAGTAGTAGTAGCAGCAGCAGTAGTAGTACTAGTTTTAGCAGCAGCAGCAGCAGCAGCAGGAGTAGTAGTAGTAGTAGTAGTTGTCGTCGTCGTCGTCGTCGTGGCGGTGGTGGTGGTGGTAGTGGTGGTGGTCGTCGTGGTGGTGGTTGTAGTAGTTGTGGTGGTGGTGGTGGTGGTGGTGGTGGGGGTGGTGGTGGTGGTGGTGGTGGGGGTGGTGGCGGCGGTGGTGGTAGTGGTGGTGGTAGTCGTAGT